CCCCAAAACCCCAAAACCCCAAAACCCCTTTACTAGTTTAATTGTAAACTAAAATTTGCAATGGAGTAACAGTCATTCTTAATACTTTTAGGAAGCAGAAATCATCAGGTAGTTTTAGTGAACTGTTGCAGAATGTTACTGTTGATGATCAAGGAGAGGAATACGTTGTAAAATTTATTCCAGATACTCAAATTTCAACTCCTCATCCTACTCTCTCTTTTAATGAGGTTTCTGAAGAGCTTAATGATGGTAAATTTTCGCCATATTTTATAGCTACACCTCTTACAACAATCCATAAAGAGGAAATATTTACAAAAACCCTGAATGAAGAGAATAAAAATCAAGATTTAGACAGTAGAGAAACTACAATATATGATTTTATCAAGACTAACAACAGAACCATTGCCTGCGTTCATAGCTACAATGGAAGAAAGATTGTCACTGAACTATTCAAAACCCAGTCCCATGGTACAAAGTCGACATAATTTGTAGAATTTGCTTTAATTGTCACCCCAGTTGAGAAAGGAGTTAAAGAGTGGTCAAAGCTACTCCTAAAGAACAAATGGAGTAACGAAAGTAAGTACAGCTTAGTAAACCTAAATCCAGAAGTAACCATCAAAGAGTCTCAAGATCAAACAAAGATCGTAGTGATTTCTGCACAGAAATTAAGGTGGAATCAAAATCTGAGAAATTCAATTATTTCACTCTGTGATGAGAAGATTATCACTCGAATCATAATCGATGAAGCTCAGTATTATGGAATCCATTGAAAAGATGTTCAGATTTATACTAGAATTAGAGAATTAATAACTTATTACAAGACGATGCCTTTGACAATCCTTATTTCTTCAATTGAAAGCAGTGATTTTCTACAAATCCAAGCAAATCTGAGGCCAAGAGACTTTGCAGAAATCAGGAATTTTTCAATATTCCCGAACGCTTCTTTTAATGTGAAAGATAAAGGCAAATCTCATCTTGAGGATTTAGTAGAGTTAGTCGAGCAAAAATTTAGAGAAGAGTCTGGTATAATATATTGTAAGACAGAAGGTATTGCTAAAGAATTACATTCCCTTTTGGAACACATGAGTCAGTCATATGCCTCCTCTAGAGCTTGCTCAAGCCAAAACCAGGTACGATGCTACTTATATTCTCTCGAACAGTCAGAAAGAGAAGAGGTTATTTCCTTATGGGAAAAAGGAGATATACAGATTTTGATAATCTGTAGTGATGAAAGATTACATCCTTATCCTGAGAGCATTAGGTTTATTATTCATGAAAGCCCACCTGTATGCATCAAAGATTATTATAAAGATTGTTATAATGTAAGCAAAGATGGTAAACCTTCTTACTGAATTTTGTACTCTGGTCTTGATGATCTGTTAAATCTACTGAAACAATTGCCTGATGGAGATAAAGTCTTTACTAGACTTGCCCTTGAGTATACCTTTGCAATGATCAATTACTGCTTTTGCTCCAACCTGGCTATCTTTGCAGAAAAGAATCTTAGTGATGCTTCTGTGGTAAGTATTGACACTAATTTTGTTAATAATCAAATGAAGTCCTACATAATTTTCTTTAGCCTAAACTGTTTTGAATGAGAAAAATTCTGAAAGAACAAGTAACTGAAGAAAATTCTCAAGAGGATTGTAAAAACCAATGAGATAACTGCAAGTACGGATCAGAGGGATCGATCCGAGATATTACTAGTCAAGCCCTTCAGCTAGCAGAGTTCATTGCAAATGATTTTATAAGTAAGAGTACCATTAATATTTTGTAGTATCAAATACTGTTTATGGTTGCTTCCTAAACTTAATCCAGAGTCCTCTTTAGTAAGTCATCAGTGTTGATATTCTAGCAAGCTAAAAATAGATATTCTTCCAGAACTTGAATTCACTTTCAAAATGAAGCTCCTACTAAAATTCTTTCACGAGAAAATTCTTAAAGTTCAAATATCTGAACTAGAAGATGGATTATTGAATTATCAACTTACAAGGGGGCCTCGGTATTCTTCCCTCATTTCTGAAGATCTTCATGTGTATCAGCTAGTAAACCTCCCCCAAGAATGTTCATCTTCTGCTACGTCTTTTCCAAGTTGTGAGAAAAGTGAGCTAAAGAAGAAGTTCAGTTCTAAATTTGGTCAGTAAGCCTTTGCTAATTTTGATTATTTTACTTATAGACAAATTTTGAAAGATCCCAATATGAATGAAGATACTCACGCAGAGACATTCTACGAGGTGAGTGGTCTTTGGGTTCTCTAAAACATGTTTAGACGAAAGAAGCCACTTTAGATACTGATTTTGCAAAACATGCTTAAAAATTCAAGTGAGCTCAAATTGAAGAAAATAATTTGTATCAAAGTTAACAATAGATTTCAATTGGTGGAGTGGAATTACAATATGAATGTGTAAGCTACATTTTCGTTCGAAATTTTCCCAATCTACCGTTTATCAATTTTTGTTTCACAAAATGGGGTTTTGGGGTTTTGGGGTTTTGGGG